TCAGCAGAGACAGAGTACACCTAGATGATGGAAAATCACATAGGTGATTCAGGCATGCTCGAAAAGACTTTCCTGGCATGCTAGAGACAACAAAGAGCACAAGAAAGGAAGAACATAAACAGGTTGGAGAAACATGTTTATTACGCTTAGCACAAAAGAAATCGAAAAATAAGAACAAAAATAGACAATGATCATTATCAAACAATGTGTCAGAAATTATGACCCCAGAGACTGATGATGGCCTCACATCTATGGCACATGGAAGATCTGATGCTCTGGAACACACCAGGCATGTCCTGGGCTTCCCAAGCAGCTGCCACGATATGTGCAACAAGTTTGTCACCACTTCTAATGGGGATTTTGTACACCAGTGTCTTGATTACTTCCAACAGGAAGTAGTCAAGACTGTACTGACTACTTCCAAGAGGAAGTAGTCAGTGCAAGTGAAGTTTGGCAATCTTGCTAGCCAAAGCACCGGACCAAACCTGCTGATCCCCTGTTGAAGATATGTTTCAAACATAATTTCGAACACCTCCTTTGATGATTATTGTCTCTTTTTGTTCGTATTTCTTGATTTCATTTACCCTAAGCATAATAAACATATATTCTCACCTTGTTTGTGTCCTTTTTTTCTTGTGCTCTGTGTCATCACTACCACGCAGGAAAGCATTTCTGAACATGCATTGCTATGTGTTTTTTCATCATCTAGGTATACTCTATCTGTCCTTAATCTTTATAGCTGATTTGCTGAAACACCCTGTATATATTGTTACGAAATGTCAAGGCGTGGTAAGATAGCTTCCTCCGCAAAGCAGGTTTAGGCTTGCCATAAAATGGCAAAGGTATGCAGGGTTGCAATATCTGGAAACATTTGGCGACAAAATTGGCGATATGCCATAAATGGATGGAGAACCTTCTGGAACGAGTTCTTACTGGTTTAGCCGCACAATGTTCTCGAACATAAGCCCAAAGCTATATAAACCCTGCTGGTATGCGGAGAATCAGTTAGTTAGTGATAGTCAAGTTGATAGTCAGTCCAGTCAGTGAGTGCCAAGTTGATTGTCAAGTGCACCAAAAGAGTCTCTTACTGTACTGCGGTTAGTGCATTGTCAAGAGCGTATGTTGAGCTCCGGGAGCGACGGAAGCTGTACTCTGGTGTATCGTCGAGTGCATCACAAGTTGTAGTGTTGAGAGTCTTGAGAGTAAGTGAAGTTCCAGGAACGACAGAGCTGAGTCAGGAGCTGTACTCTGGTGCTTTGCAGTGAAGCTGTCTCCACCATTATAGCCTGATAACCTGAAGGCAGTGTCACTGATTGTTACAGTGTGTTTATAGTAGTTCTTCAACTACTGTAAATGAGATTTTGAAGCTGTCTTGAATAATACTGGCCAATAAAGTGTGTTTTGATAATTCATCAAGTGTCGTCATTATTCATTCCAAATCTATGAACCCGTAATGAAAGTAATAAAGGAAGGAAAAAAGGTAACAATATATATATATGCAGCGTGTTTCAGCATATATATATATACAGTCAAAAGTCGTTAATTCGGACACCCATAATCCGGAATGATCTATAATCCGGACCTCAAAGCTACAAACTTTCTGCGCATGCGTCGCGTTCACGCATGCGCACAGGCGTTTACGAGAGCGCGTAAGACCCTTACGGCTGCGAATATGTTTGTGCGCATGCGCGTTTAATGTGTAACGGAGTTATACGCTAAGCTAAAGTTATCTAATTCAGTTAATGCTGCAGATTGCGTTGTTCCTTAATCTTCGAAATGGATCCGGCTTATTATTTTTTGCAGACTGTTAAAGCAATTTTATAAAAGTAAGCTTGAACTTTCGATTATGTCAAATAGAATTTCCGATATATATTTACTACAAAGCAAAAGTATGTTTTGAAATCCGAAATCTGTTTATCAATTTCACGCTGCTCTGCGGCAGAGGGGGGGCAGAAACGTCATTATTAGATTATGATAGATTAGAAAGATTATGTCAAATAGAATTTCCGATATATATTTACTAATAATAATTATTATTTATTTATTTAATGTAATTTGTATCTACAAAGCGAAAGTATGTTTTGAAATCCGAAATCTGTTTATCAATTTCACGCGGCGGATTGGAAGTTGATCTGTCAGCACTATCCTTATCTTCAGGGCAGATGTTTTATTTTATTTGGTTTATAATTCCGTACTAAGTGTAGTATTTCATTTCGATGTACTCCGTCTTTGATATGATTTAAATCAAGTTCCTCGTCATTATAATTCGCTTCCGATAGTGAAGAAAGTGACCCAGAGGTTATTGAAAACGAAAACATTTCGATTGACAAATTAGTCGGTATTCTCAACACAGCAATTATAGGACTTGAACAGCGGAACTTTGTAACTAAACAAGAAATTATGTCTGTTTAATAGAATTAAAGAGAAAGTATTATCACATGAAACGAAGCAACTTACATTGAAAGAAATGTTTAATAAAGTAAACAAATAAATATTAAGCTTTTTGTTTTTGTAAATTTTGATACCCTTTAGATCATAATTGTTCTTTATTTCATAAATTACGGTTTCATCTTTTTAATTTTGTAATTTCTGCATGCCATCTTACCAGATTTAAACTGATGATCTATAATCCGGAAAAATCGATAATCCGGAATCGCCGAAGTCCCGACGAGTCCGGATTAACGACTCTTAACTGTATATATATATATATGTAATATTTTGGCAGTCGGGCACATGAATGAAGCTTGGCAATCTGGTCACATCTGAATTCTGGACATTGTTGACATTGTTGTGGCTGAGTGTAAGGTGGCATCCAATGACGACACAGAAGGATTTAAATTTGTAACTCCATATCTTTATTCAATTCAAAAGTCAGATCATTATTCTGTACTAAATAAGATTAACTTTAAATTCACTGCGTCATAGTATTTAAACAAAGGGAGGTATATGAAAAGAGCTGAAGCATAGATCTTAACAGCAGTAGGGGGAGAAAGCAGTCTCTAACGCAAAATGGCGCGATTCTTCATTTATAGAAGTGGTTATATAATATGCTTGAATGTTCTCAAAAATACTGGTCTAGGGAGAAGATCCTGAAATTGCAAAAAGTTAATTAGAGGTTGCTTGTTTGCATAGAGCAAAGCCATTGTATTTTTTATATTTTACATATATTTAATAAAATCAATTAGTTTCTGCAATTGCCCACCAGCAGCCGAGCGGTAAAGTCGCTGAACACTGGTAGTTTGGTCCGAGGTTCAAATCCCGTGAACGGGCTGGCTGCATGGGTGTTTTCGTCGTTTTTCCCATGTGTAACGTGTATACGAGCCAGTTTCCCTTAGAGTCCTCCACAAAGGCATCTCTCTCCTTAGACAGATAGCCCTCAAGGCTTTGCCGTAATTAAATAACCTAACCTAGTTTCTGTAATTTATATGTCTGCAATATCAAGAACTCTAAATTTATTCCAAGAAAAAAGCCAGCCTGTTTGTGAGAAGAAAGGAATGTACACAATCAGTGAGTAGGATTCGCTCGAGTCTATATAACCAGAAATTACTAATCCAAGATAAGCTCTTGAATTCATTATACTCCAGAATTTACTTACAAGCTCAGTTCAGTTATGACCACCACATAAGTTAATAAAATACCACAGTACTCTCCTGTAGATTTTATATTTCATTTTCTGAAATATTTACCATTAGTCATGGCAAAATATTGTGCTATGTTAACACTGTGGTAGTGATAAAAAAGTGTTTCAATTCAAACATTTACTTCAGATTTGAAACCTGCTGCTCTGATAATAAATCTGTATGTCCATGTATCTGTGTGTTTTGAACAATATGCATATTCAAACAAATGAGTAAAATATAAAAAGATAGGGAACCATTTATATCAACTTATAAACCAAGAATAAATATCAGATTTACTTAAAAATTAATAATAACAATAATGAAAACATTAATAAAGTGAAATCTCTCATTACAATGCTCTTCTCAGAATGACCACTTCTGAAAATTACCCCTAAAGTTTAAAAAAAAAACATAATTTCACCACAGCACTGAACACATCTCTCTAAGACGAATACCTTCACAGACCACCAAAACATTTTAAACTGTTCGATGATATCTTAGAAAATTTTCATTATAAATTTTATTCATTAAAATTTTTCTCTGAGATACCTTAGCATTTGGGGAAAAACACTGTTAGTTTGATAGAGAATAAAATTTTAAGAACTTCTACATCATAAAATTAACAAAATGAAAAGTAATAGGTGAAAAAATATCAATAAAACTTTGAAATCCAAACATAAAAATAAATAATATTTAGATGTTTTTAAAATGTTTAACCTTCAATACTTTCCTGCTGACAATTTTTGACCAACAAAATCTGTTGCTAAATAGTGAGATTTAGTGCCAGTAATTGATAAGAGTGACATCACAACACATTTATAAGAGCTTCACCATGTTTTTTCTTTTTCTTTTTTTTTTTCTTTTTTTTTTTTTTTTTTTTTTGTAATACTGATTGATATGCCAGTTTACCAGTTTGTCAGTTTAGCTTTTGTAAAGAAAAATATACATAAATGACTATTCCTTTTCATTCAAAAACAGCTATTAAAATTTCACAACTACCTTGTACAGAAGAGCACTAAAGTATCTTTTTAAACTTAACAGATCCAGGCATTTAAAAAAGATTTAAAAAAGAAAAATGGGCATGCTGCAGGATGTCATTTGAAATGGGATAAGCGATGGTGATGATATGAGCTCGTATTTATTAAAGTTTTTTATATGTTATATTTGAAACTTTTACAAATTGATTATCTATCTAAATATGATCTATTCTTTTAAACTTCCACTAGAATGGCTGGTACAAACATGGCACTATTTCATCTAACTTAATGGTCAGTGTGAAAATATGCAAGTACTGTAAAATGGCTTAACTCAATTAATTATTATTTTAACCATTAAAGAAAGAAAAATGAAAAAAATAAAGGAATTAAAAGCTCAACTCACATAAAACACCCATACAATATTTGTCTGACGAAAGAAAATTGACAAAGCTCCAGCAATTGCAGCAGAGATGAAGCAATATTTCTTATTCCAGTAATACATTAATAATACAAAAAATACTGAACCACAATCTGTGTAGTACAGAAACGTAAAAAAATATAATACTGGAAACATTGATATGTTCATGGCAGAGAGAATTTTAAAACGTTCTTCATCCTTCTGAAAAAAAGAAAAGAAATTTATAATTAGAATAACAAAACATAACTGTAACAAGAATTAGAAATGCTGAACTTAAACAAGTAAAGTAATGTAAACTTTAAACAAAATTAAGTAAATGTTCTTAATGATTTTATATAAATCTAGTAAATATTATGCTAGGTTAAAAAAATGAATTTTCAAAACAGCAGCATAAAAATTCAAAATTATCTTGATGTTATTTAATTATATGCAATAATTAGGGTTACAAGATATCTGGGATTGACTTAGCAGTCCTAGCATTGTAATTATGTCAGGGGATGTATGCTGGATTAATGAAGAGTTTGGGATTTTTCAGTGCTTTATTACAAAAGTTGAACTAGCCTGTAGAAGAAATGGAGAAGAAGCATGTTACCAAAACAATGTTTTTATTAATATGAAGGTATATTTGGATAAAATCATTAATTTTTTGAATGTATGAGGACAACTGCACTTATAAAATGTGGCTTCATCTACATCTTCATAATAAACCTACTGCAGAATGGCCACAACTTACAATACAACATAGTAACCTCAGCAGTAAAGCAATATAAAAATCCAAATGCTATTTACTTAAAAAAAAGAATAAAGATTACAATGTTTAAACAATGAAAAGGTTTAAATGAATAATGTAAAGGCTTCGGTTCACAATGTTTCAAACTGTAAATATCATTAAATACATTATCAATATCAATTACTTTATTAAACCAAAAGATTAAAATATATGCTAGTTTGTAAATTAATGTTTTACTACCTACACTGCTAAAACAAAATTCAGCAATTACTAAATTTTGTTGCCAAAAATTTTCCATTTCGCAAAAGAAAAATCAATACTTTTCTGCTAACAGGTTTCCACTTAGCACCAGCCATAAACAGCAGCACAAAATCTAACTAAATGGAGCAGCCCTTACATAAAGCCTTATGAAAAAAATGAATTTGAAATATCATCATGCTGTTGGCAATGTATAAAATTCAGCATTCTATAGAATACCTAAGCATTTTATAGAATCCCAAAAACTGGCCAGCAATGTAAGAAATGATTAAATATTTCATACACTACCCAGGCATTCTACAGAATGCCAAATGACAAACAAGCAAAGCATGAAATACATCTCCATAATTATATACAATGCCTAGCGAAAGTACATAACAATTCATGAAATATATTGGCAGTCGTAATGAGTGTGACAGAATATAAGTCTCTGACTTGAAACTTCTGAAAGAATTTTAAAACTATACATGAGATCACAGTTCACTTTATGTTCTAAGAACTTAGAATCGAAGATATTCCAGACCATGAAATTCCTCTCCGGTAAGTTGCCACAGCTCAATCCAATGGAAGTGGCCAAGGATTCATCAAGTGTATGTGTAAAAGTACCGAAATATGAAATGTCTTTGTGTGAAAAAATAATGAAGTAAATTCAAAAAGTCATTCAAACCTACAATGTTGCAAAAAATAGGTAAATTTAAATTTACTTTTTATATGAACATTTTGTTTTCTTTAATAAGAAAGGTATAAGTTTGTTTTGTACAACTTTCACTTTTCTTTATGTATTTTTAATATAATTTTTTAAAGGCACTCATTATTGTTTTCAAAATAACATTTGTATTTTTGAAGCATGAATCTTTTTAAATAATAGCCTTATCATGACACTTTTTCCCATACTTTGCCAAAAAAGAGCATTTATCATTCTATAGAATGCTTGGGTATTGCATGCAATGCCTAGGTTAAGTATATAATAATTCTTATATTTCACATTTGGCCTAAAATCACCAGGCATTCTATAAAATGCTTCAGTATTCTATAGAATGCTGGAATTTCATACTTTGCTGGTAACATGTGTAATAAAATATAATACATATTTAACGTGCACAGCCTTCATATTGTGCATGTTTAAATACTGCATAGATGCTCATGGTATGATACGAATATGTTACCTTTAGTGCTTTTATATTCTTACAAATAAACAATCAGTACAATACTCATTTTTAAATAATACGAGGTGACACAGAGTAACAGGAATTTATGAAATGTGTAGTGGCTTTACTGTAGGAGAGAGACCTTGAGCAAATAAACACTCTGCTATTTTAGTAAACATGGATCAGTGGAACGGGCAACAGGCACAAATCCTAATTATTCACAAATCACACAAATCCTAAAGAAATTCATGAGTGCCCTTTACATGCTAGTTAGGTGACCGTATGGTGTACTGTTTCATTACATGGGATCAATGGACTTTATTTTTTCGAAAATGAACAGGGTATCATAGTAACTGTCAATGTGGATCATTACGTGGAGATGTTACAATCTTTTATTACACCTGAATTGAACAATTTTTCATATGTTCAAGAAACTTGGCGAGAATCATTTGGTAGCTGTGTGGTCTCAAGATTCAGTAATGTTCCCTGGCCCTCTAGATTGCCAGATTTGTCCATTTGTGAATTTTTCTTGTGGGGCTATCTCAAGAGTAAAGTGTACACGACCCAACCAAGAACACTGGATAGCTAAAACAGAGAATTCAGGATGAAATTCCAGCTGAGATGTTGCAGCGGTTAATGAGGAATCTCAACAGCAGATTTCAAGAATGCATTTGTACAGGAGGACGCCATCTAAAGGACATAACTTTAAAAAAAAAATGATAAATTCCTTTTATGCTTATTAAATGGCAAGTTTTAAGGTTTCAATTACTATGAATAAAATTTTCTTCCTTCACTCTTAATTTTATTGGATTGTTAAAAAGTTTCTTTTTTTTTTTTTTTTTTTTTTTTTTGTGTGTGTGTGTGTGTGTGTCTCCCTGTATATGGTTGCATTAAACATCAGATGCATAACTAACATAATCAATTTAAACATCAATTAAAAGCTTATTCATTAATAACAGATATTTAGGAAATTATTCTTAAATAAGAAAAAAATTCAATATGAGACATACTTTAGAATTTTATGAAAAATTTCTCAATCAAAAATAATGCTGGTTCTTGCATAATTCAGAATTGTAAACTAAATCAACTCATGGTTTTCAATACCAGATTTATCTATGTAAAAAAATTTAATTTATAATTATATTACTTTATCATGTTCTTCAGCTATAGACTGCCAATCACATAAGATGCCAACATATATTAATAGAGAACTGAAAATTTCTGAAAAATGGATTATAAACAAATACTCAGGGCCAGATGAACACCTTCACAGGCTCTAAGCATATGAAAGATTTTGATGTCCATCACAACTTTTTTTCATATCTTTTCTCTTTCTCAGTTGTATTCCATGGCAAAACTGACACTGAAAATTTTTTGGTGCCAATTACCTGAGGAATTCTTTTGTGATGTTCCTTTTCCTTGATGCCTTTACTGCTTAATTTTTAATCCAGCCCTGTCCATACTCTTCAAGTCTGAATATTATGAACCACGGATCTGTTAGAACTCTGCACAAACTGTGCTCTTGAAATGCAGTTTAAAAGGAATACTTTGGAATAATATTGGAGTTCACCAATTAATACGTTCCTAAAACTTATTCAAAGCACTAACTGTGCTCATCCTATTTTTGATGGTATACTTATGCGAGTCTGGATTTACTGCCCTTTTCTCAATCAAAACAAATTCAGAAATTGTTCGGATGCACAAGCAGATATACAAACTGCTATTAACAGCAAATTGCTGCAATGTGGTAAATGCTCATCCAATAAGCAGGAACAAAAAGTCCTTAATTTTTAATGAGTTATGCGAATATTAAATTCTGTTATGATTTCTTCAAAATAAAAAAAGAAACTGCTTTATGGGTGCAAGAACATATTAAAAAATTTTTAGGTTTGTGGGACATGAAAAGTTAGGGAACCCATAGTGAAGCCAATATTAAGGAATATATTCCAAATAATAAACACTTATTGTTTCAAGATACTATAAAGGAGTATTTATTTTACATTAGCTTTTGTAAAGAATTTTGAAGATGGAATAAAGCCAAGGCCCAAGATAAAATTACATACATAACTAACTAAAAATTCCAGTTCGAATGTATTTTTCACAAAAATATTTTTACTTTTAACCTTCCAATGGGCGTGCGTATGTGTGACATACACTAGATATTAATTTTGCATTTGTTTCATAGACCAAAGAGCGCTATGACCGCGTGTCCTTGGGTATTCTCTCCTCTTCATTCGCCCTGCTTTCAGTCGTCTGCTGGATTTCAAGGGGTTAATGGTAGTCTGCAGATTTACTATTTGTATTCCAGAAATACATGCGACCATTGAAGTAAGTTTTTGTTATATCTAATTTCCGTTTTATTATAGAAAATCTTTATTCTTCTGCATCTAAATCTAATGATTTATAATTTTTGTGTGCATAATTACTTTTATTGATAAAATACAAGCACTGTATGCGTCACATATGTGCGACCATATATGATATTTTTGTTCTTTTAAGTTATGACAGATAAAAGTAAAATGCTCGACATGAATGACCCGAAGGATCTTGAGATTAGAAGAAATATGCTTTTATGTGACAGTGATGACGATGAGGACATTACTTTATGTGAAAGCATTACAGATCAAGAAGAGTGAATTTCAGAAAGAGAAGATGATTTAGAATCGGAGATAAGTGCAGAGAGCAATTCTGAAGAGGAAAATGATGATAATTCTTCCGAAGTGTATATAGCTCATCAAAAGAAAAACAGAAAAGTCATCGATTCTTGGTCATGACATAAAGAACCATTTATGAAAACTAAACGAGCGCCTCGTAACATATGTGTTCATGTTCCTGAAGTCATCGGTGAAGCTAAATATCTAACAGATATTTTGGATGTATGAAAATGCCTCTTTACTGATAGTATAATAGAAATCATCGCTGAAAATACTAATAAGTTTATTTCTTCTACGAGGTCTAATTATTCTTGTATAAGGGACAGCAGAGACACAAATAGAGCAGAAATAAAAGCTCCTTTGTGCATACTTTACTTAGCTCATATTTATCATGGTAACAGAGTTAATCTT